TCTAGAGGATCCCCCTTTCATCTAGCTTTCTAAATGTGTTGGAATCATGTTATTTGGTTTTGTTTCATGAAGAAAAATGCAAAAAACCAAAAAAAACACAACACTTTTGGAATTCCTTTACCTCATATCTCCACAACAGGAGCACTTCAGAACATAATTCAACCAGATTCGGGAAGCTACAGTGCAGGGGTACAACTTTCGCTTTTTGACTATTTTTGGTAATTGGTCATGTGACCACCCTCCCAACAACCCATGTGATACATATCATCATTATTATATAGTTTTCGGTAATGAAAGTGCCAAAGGGCCTAATGAAATATCCTAATGAAAAATCTAAGAAATAGTAATGAAAGTGCCAGGGAGCCTAATGAGAAGTGATGAAATCATCAAGGTGCTCAATGAAATATCCTAAAAGAAATGGTAATGAAAGGGCCAGATGCCCCAATGAAATCTCCCAATGAAAAATCTAATGAAATGGTCAAGGTGCGGGAACCTCTTCAGGGATTGCGTATGATGACGCGGTCCGTGTATCTATCAACGAAGCGATCCTGGCGAGCTGTAGTGTATGGATAGGTTTGCGTTATGGTGTGAGACCCTTGTTCGAGTATCTAGGAGTTAATCAAGGTCAATCTCTTTACACGAGTTGCTACTTGCTCTGGAATGCCACGAGCGTAGACGAACTCTCCCTTCTCGGAATGCCGCAGAAAGGCGCTAGGAGATTTCCCTCGGGAAAGATGTGCAAACACAATCAGTGCGCAAGGAGAGACACGAGCTCTCCACAGTACGGTATCAACAATTCTACTGACCTTACTTCCGAAACCCCTTGTATACCCGTGATTGAGTCGTGAGGACGATGCTCAAGTGCGCGAGTCAGAACAGAGATGATGGTAAAGTTAGATGATTTGTTTACATATGTGACAAAGTGATATGTACTTGAATGTGACTACTGTGATTGCGTGACGACAGGACTCCCTGAATTGGCATATGGATAGGTAGCGTTGGATAGGAAATATCGTAAGGAAGGGAATGAGAGAAGCTGTAGGCTTAGGTGTTCGTGCCCTGTTACAGAGCCCCCCTATTTCCGATCCGACGAGGTCGGTATTCCTCTGGCAATTCGATGTCGATCAAGCGTCGCTTGTGCCAGTCCAACGAAAAACCATCCAGCAGTTTGGCATACAACTTGTTCAACGTTGCCGGAACTAGCTGGTTGAGGCGATCCTTCGAACCTCGGTGACTGCGATTCAAACGACGGAAATAATCATTCCACATTCCTGGGGTTCTGAACTTTGCGGAACCCTGCAGGATTTCCTTTGTAAGGTCGGCGAACATATTTTCCATGCGATCGTCCCACTCTCCGGTCCAGAAAAAACAACCGTCATCCAGGATGTCCCGCGAAGGATATAAGGAGCGGTCTCTGTCAATATCACTGCGGATGCAGCCGAAGATGACATCAATCTCCTGAGGACTCATTTCATCAGTGTAAAGAAACATAGGGTTTTCGTCGTCCGAGTCGATATAGCCTCGCCTGTGTAAGTAGACGTCCGGAGATGGTCCGTCCATAAATTGAGCAACTAGCTCTGGGCCGCCCCATTTGCGGCCAAGCCAAGCTTCTGGGCCACCTAGTCCCACCAAGATCCTCGCGTGAGGCCGTCGGATAATATCGTTGACGCGGCTCATGTAGTAGGCCTTCAGAGCCCCCGGGGCGGTGTAGGCAAACGGCGGTTCCATCACGCAAGTGGGTTTCCCTACTACACGGTCTGTGTCGGAGACTTCCTCGGGTTTGAACCTGCCAAAATCTTCAACTTTGACGCCGATGCTAAAGGGAATTCCGTGAGTGATAGCTTTGAGAAGCACTTCCGCCATTGTGGAAACGTCGCGAGAACAAGCCGCCCAGTAACGGAGACAAGCCTGAGCTTTCTTATCGGGTACCAGCAGGAATCTGATGTCGAGGTAGTCGACATTCCACTCCAGGGGTTTCTTGCTAACCCACGCGCTGACTGGCGTTGCGTACTGACTGCCCAAACTGCGCAGGTCGTCGATGTAGGCTGCTCGTCCTTCGGGTAATTGGTCCCTAGACGCAGTCCGCCCGCGGTCGGGAGATGCAGAACGTGTACGAAGATCTCGCTCGCCGGAACTATGTGAGAGTCTGGCTGCTGAAGAAGCCCTGGAGCCTGAATGACTAGAAGGGGCGACCATGGATTGTATCCATTTCGAAGCGACATTAAGTGGGGAAGCCGGAGTTGGCACCAAGAGCGGTGGGTGGGAAGCTGGGACCCAATGTGGGCGAGGGAGAAGACGAGTCCCATCAAGCGCGTCTGCTTCTACGGAGCTTATGTCGTTGTCTTCGTAGACATCCCCCAGGCGACTGACTAGGGTGATTCTACCGCACTCGTCAAAACGCGCTTTGCCAATGGGAGCGTGGACTGCTTTGAAAAGCTCGCGGATTTCTCGATCTCCCCGACATGCCTCTGTAGTAGATCCTGGGCCCCAGCAGCCTGCGCGCTGACTTCCTCCCATATCTAGCCGCCGTGGTTTCCAGCGCCAGATGGTGACGTAGCTGTCTGACTCATCCGTCTCGATGCAGAAATGATACCTCCCCGCGTAATCCTCGATCAGGGAATCGTCGATCACAAGTCTCGCTGACCACCCCTCGAAATCGCAAATGTATACTGTCGCGTTGGGAGGGATGTCGGAGAAAGAAGGGGAAGAGGTGTGATCGGGCGTTCTTCGTAGTTGAAAAAACTCATCGTATTGCTTGATGGCATCGATGTCGTCTTGGAAGCCCATCATGTCACCCTCCGAGACCTCCGACCTGTCCAGAGTGTCGCAGGCGTCGTGGTAGGCTTGCAGTATAGTTGGAGACAGCCGCGCGAAGCAGGGGTAGTCGTCGTTATCTTCCTGCCAGAAGTAATAGACAGGAACGTTCTCTGCGAGTAGATGCCCTATGTTCAGAACATGCCAGCGCCTCGGCAGGTCGACGAAGACTCCTCTTTTCTTGAGATCGCGTAGTTTGAAACCACCAATGTAATCGACCATCCATCGTTGTAGGACGTCGTCCCATCCGGATACTGAAGATGACCACCAGTTGATAAAACCCAGGTATTCCAAAACTCGTCCCCGCGCATCTTCAGCTAACGATCTAGCCCCCTGAGCTGAGTCCCAAGCTGCGGACAGCAGTAGATAATTGAATTTTGTTGGGTGAGGCGTGCCGGAAACAAATGGCGGCTGCGATGTGATAGATTCGATGCAAAGCCATAACTTCGTCAGTGAATCTTCCGCTTTAGCACGTAGGATGGGGTCAAAACGAAATTTACCGTCGTCGCCCGTCCATGGGGTACTGCCCTCTCCGAAATACCAAGGTACGGCTTCGTTTTCCTCTGCGAAATAATCGATGACGTTCCATGCATCCCAATGATACCTGTCTGCATACCACGTAGGTCGTTTGGTCCAAGTCCAAGCGTCTGGTCGAGCGGCTAAATCGGGGGGAAGGAACGCGCGATCTGTTAGAGCTTCCTCGAATACAGTTGTGGAGGGAATTCTGCCTGCTGAAGCGTTCAAGGCAATCCATTGTCCTGCTACCATCTCCGCCCGACCCGAAATTGGAACTTTGCCGTCTCCGTCGGTGTATAAGCATTCCATGATGGCTGACGTCTGGGTGTGTGACTGAGTCGATGTCGAAGGTAGAGTGTCCGAGATTGAGTGTAGAAAGAAGAGAAAGAAGAAGGAGAAAAAGACAAAGAGGAAGGCATATGGTAGTCGTCCATCGGATCAGTCCGATCGGACGAGATAAGTTAACTCCGAACTATTCTTACAATAGTGTCTTGACGTCATGGCTTTTCAGCCATTTTGCGACCACTTCAGGTGCATTCGTCAAGGCTCGTTTGGGCTCCCAAGTGTCGTAGAGGGGACTGTATCCCTCCCAACGTACAAGATACTCGAGACCCTTTTTGGTGCGTCTTTCCGCTATAATCTTTTCGACCTCATACTCCTCTTGTTCTGGTTTTTTTGTTCTAGTTTCCGGCAGAGATGTCCTATCTCCGAACTCCGTAGGAGAAGGTTCGTACTTCCGTAAGTGCTGATAGTTGAACACTGGCAGACCTGGGTATAAGTTGCTCATCCGTAAGCGGTAAACGTTGGGATTGATACGCTGCATAATCTCGAAAGGTCCAATCCATCGTTGGGTAAGCTTCTTTCCCTCTCCCTTGGACTCAATCCATTCTAGGGCGTGAGGGTTAACTAGTACTTTGTCCCCTTTCTTCAGGACGGGTATAGGTTTCCTTCCCTTGTTGAATGATCTGACTTGCTGGTCCTGCGCTTTCGCTATCGCGCTTCTCGCGCTCTCTCTATGCATGGCGAAGTTTTCCAAAAAGGTTATTGCTTCTGGACCCAATGCTCGGCTATCGATATCATCCGAACGCTTAGTCCCTAAAAAGTCTAAAGGAGTTCGAGGGTGAAAACCGAGAAGGAGGTGGAATGGAGTAGTCCCAATGGACGAATGGATGGCACTGTTGTACGCAAATTCCAATAAATGTAGCCACAACGCCCATTGATCCTTTTTTCCAGCTATGAAAGCACGCATCATGGTGGTCAGTAGCTTATTAACCACTTCAGTCTGACCGTCGTGTTGGGGGTGATGAGAAGATGATAAACTCATTTTCGTCTGAAGGGCTTTCGCTACGCTTAACCAGAAGTCAGAAGTCCATCTCGGATCTCTGTCCGTAACGATGCTCTCCGGAAGGCCGAATCGACAAACAATATGCTTGAAAAATAACGACGCGAATCCTTCCGAATCCAAGCCTGTAGTTGTTGGTATGAAAGAGGCGTGTTTCGACAAACGATCGACTACCACATAGATGGCGTTGAACCCTTCGGACCAGGGTAAGTTAACGATAAAGTCCATTGAGATTGACTGGTAAGGCCGACTAGGGATTGGGTTAGGTATGAGCATTCCAAACCTAGAGAAGTTGGGTGTCTTCGTTTTCTGACAAACGTCGCATGATCGGCAGTATCTCACTATATCCACTTTCATTCTCTTCCAATAGAATCTTGAGCTCAATGATTGCCATAGCCGTTCAGGACCCGCATGCGCCGATTCCAGGGGATTTTCGTGAGCTTCCCGAAGAATGAAATTCCTCAAGGTAGAGGGTACGCATAATCGTGGCTGGTAGTTCTCGTTACTGAAAAATATCATGCCGTCATGATCAACTAAGAATCGCATGCCAGGTTGTACCTTGTCGTAGCGGAATTTGTCATCCTTGACAATTGATTTGAACATAGGGTCATCCTTGTAAGCCCTTCTCCATTGCTCCTTGGTATCCTCGCTCATGGACAGATGAATCGTAGGTGGAGGATTGACGGCCCCCCAGTATTCTGCCGTTGTTGCTAGCGTGTCCAGTGCCCCGGAATCTTCGGCTGTAGTCTCCTCGATGGGATTTGTCGTGGAATGGTCCTCCTGAGTCTCAACAAATCTTTTATTCCTAGACCTCACGTTGATCAAGACTTCTCTCGGTTCTTCTAGGCAATCCTCGATTGACCAGGCTGCAAACGAGAACGCCGCCATCTTTACCGCTGGACTCGTTACATCTTGCCTTTCGTCCAGTGATTCTTTGGCTCGAATAGAGGGCTCCGTAGATTCCAACGGAGAAGTATGGCTAGGCGGTGCTCTCGGCAATCTGGATAGAGGATCCACATTAGAGTGAACCCTGCCGGCGCGATGAATAATCTCTAGTTTCGGTGCGTATGCCGAGAAAATAGCCCCCCAAGCCGCTAATCGTCGGTTGGCATTCTCATAGGTGCGCGCCCATTGTAGCGCCGAATGGTCAGTAATGAGGAGGACGTCTTCGCCCTCAATGAAGGGCTGGAATTTTACTAATCCCTCTTTAGCCGCTAGAGCCTCCCTTTCGGTCGTTGAATACCGAGTTTCGGCGTTTTTAAACGTTCGCGACCAATATGCTACCACCCTTTCCACTCGGACTATGGTTTCGTCGAAAACTGGAGCCCACTCACTGGAGAACTCATGATCCATGCATTTGTTGCTCAGAGCGGTTACTAGTTGCGGCGGAGACAGGCCCCCTTCATATGCTTTCTTGAGACGATCGTAAGTGCGAGTTCCTCTCAAGTCTCCCACCTTTATGGGCTGAACCTGCTGCAGGGAGCATCCTAACGCTTCGTCCGAAGCGTCTGTATAGAGCCGGTAAGGGAGTCCTTCCATAGGATGACCTAATACAGGACTTGATTGTAAGGCGTCTTTAGCTGATTGGAATGCATGTTCCTGTTCCGCCCCCCAGGACCATTTGCATCCTTTCCGTAGAAGCTGAAACAAGGGAGCACATATGGATGCATAGTAGGGTATGAAGGCCGAGAAGTATACTATCATTCCCAAGAAGGCTTGTAGTTGCGAAATCTTCTTAGGTCGTTCGAGTTTCATGATGGCTTCCACCTTCTCTGTATGAGTTGAGAGCCCTAATCGCGATACCTTATGACCGAGAAGAAGAATGGAGCCATAAAAAAGGTGACACTTCTTCGGGGACAGTGTTATTCCCGCCTTTTCAATGGCTTCCAAAACTTTATCTAAATGTACCAAGTGTTCCTCGTATGATTTGGAATAGATAACAATGTCGTCGATGTACACGAGACAGAATATCCAGAGATAAGGAGATAGTATTCCTTGCATCACTCTCTGAAAGATCGAAGGCCCGTTGCGTAATCCGAAAGGTAGACGTTTGAACTGAAAGAGTCCACGGTGTGTCCGGAAAGCAGTCTTCTCGATATCTTCTTCTGCAAGCTCCAGTTGCGTGAATCCTGAGAGAGCGTCTAGAGAAGATAGAACTTGAGCCCCTGATAAAGATGCTAGAATATCTGATTGTCGTGGGATGGGAAATTCATCGGGTATCGTGGCAGCGTTTAATTTGCGATAGTCCACAAAAAATCTGGGTTTACCATTACGATAAGCGATGACTACGGGCGCACTCCAGGGACTTCTAGATGGCTCGATTACCCCTTGCTCAAACCAGGTGTTCAGCTGTTCGTCGATTATTTCCCTTTTCTGCGGCGAGGCATGATACATGGGTACTGCAATTGGAACTTGACCATCCACCGTTCGTATGTGGACTTTTGCTGGCAAATTTCCCAATCGGCCATCGAAGCCAAACGCTTTAATGCGTTTTCTCAGCATCTCCCATGCGGCCTCCTTCAAATGATCAGGAAGATTACCCACGTCTATCAACTCTTCTAATTGACTCGACGAGTAGATGGTGGGATCAGGCATCGCAGCGGTTTTAGGTCCATATTCCTCTTGTTCTTCGCCCTCTTCCGTAGGATTTGAAGCAGGGGAGTCTTGATCCATTTGTAGAGATATAACTGTTCTGATGATTTCTGCAGAGTCTTCAAATTTCTTCAGTTCTTCTCGAGATTTCGGGGTGTCGAAGAAAGTCGCTGGGTCGACTAGCGTGCCGATAATCTCCCCTTTCCTAATGAACCGTGGGTGATCGGTCGGATTCGCTATTGGTACCCAAGGGTGCGCTGCAGAGATGAGGACATTAGGAACTGCGAAAAACGTATCGTTTGCGTTGGCAAGTAAGTTCTTTTGGACCAACCATTCGCGATCCTCCCCTAACTGACCTTCCACCTGGATAGGTTTGCTTTCATGGGGTTTCAATCGATAGTCCGCTGCAGCCCTCACGGTCTTCTCGTCAATGCCGAACTTCACTTTGCGCCGATGTCTCTTCCCTTTGTTCCTTCGGTGAAATTGACGTCTCACGTATTGTCCGACCATGTAGGCGCTCTGTCTAAGACGACCAAAGTCCTTTGTTCTTTCTACGGGAGTAGCTCGAATTCGATGGTCGTGTCTACCAAAGGAAATGTGAGTCCCGTTCTCCACGTTGCGAGTAACGCTTAATTCGTAAGATTGTTGGTAGTCTTCGCCCAAAAGGATTGGTACTGTCATGTTCGGAACTACGTACGCTTCCGCTTCAGTTTCTAAGATTTCGCCTTCCACCGTGGTCATATATATAGGGATACGCACGAAGCCCTTCAATTGTGAATCCTTGTCTGTCAATTGCCACAAACGCATTCTCATTCCTTGCTTTATTGCAGGTCTCGACGTTAATTGTTCGTAGAATTCGTGTGAGATCAACGTGATATCTGCACAAGAGTCCAGCCGTAAGTCTGTTTCGACATTATTCAGACCTCCCACGAAGCCTCTCGTCGAAAGGACCGAAACTCCTATCGCTGACATCCCTTCAGGTCGAGATCTAGCTTTAGGTATCTTGAACAACTTCTCTTTCGACGGAGGGGGAAGCGAGGAGGTCGCGTTAGGGGAATCCTTGGGTTCTCCTGGAGGGTCTTTGACTTCATTTGGTCTGGCTGAAGGTATGGGGATATCATCGTGACTGGCTTTTTCTTCAGCGGGACGAGATTCGTACGACTGCTTTTGTCGAGGTTGCTTAGTCTGGTGAACGGAGTGTGCTTCCTTCACTAACGGTTCGTCTTCTTCATGTCCTACTTCATGCATCAGACAAGTAGTTGCCTTGTCTTTCGCTTTGTATTCCAGCCACGCCTCATCCTCTATTTCCTCCATAAAGACGGTTTGCTTCCTCCCTCGATTACTTTCAACGGACTTACGTTCTCTTGAGAAAGAT